AGCGCTCGTCAAGGTCCACTAAGCTGGGGGAACCAAGCGGGACACCCGCCCAACGCGCGGGCCGGGCGGACCCGCCCGCGGCCTCCCAGCTCCCAGGAGGAGGAACCCCTCCGAAAATAGGAGCATCGCTTTCCCAAGGTTAAACAGTCACAGAAGACTCGAGTCGCCGGGGTTGGGGTTTAATTTTGTCATTCCAAATGCTTGGAACGAAATGGGCCTGGAGAGGAAGAGAGGTTTCCACCCCGCCTCCTCTTAATGGGAGCGTCGTCGCACTCGCGCCTGCCTCGCCTATCCTTGCGGGAAAAGTCCCTGCCACCACTTTAAAGGGCAGCAAAGGGGTTCCAGGCCTGACTAATTCCAGCTCAGTCGGACCTCCGGGCCACCTAAGAGAATAAGCTCCGAAAACGGGCGCAAACCGCTGGGCGGATGGACCGAAAGGGCCAAGGCGCAGGAACCCCTATTGCGGTGCACCGGAGGACAGAGAGGCGGTCCCTCCCTTGCCCCCTTCTGGGCTACGACCTTTACCCACGGCTGCGGGACGCAGTAAGCGCAAAGCCGGCTACCCGCAAAGGGCCGCCCTGTCCAGATCTACCTCCACCGGCGAGCCCCGCAAAACCCAGAGCACGCCCAGGATTCCCGGGCGAGTGCCCAGGATCGTGCGCCGCCCACGGGTGCGCAGCAAACGCTCATTTAAAGAATTCATGGTCTGTTCCCCGGGCCACCCAGGCCGGCATCTGCCCGCGGGGCGGAGGAGCCCTGCCCGGGTCGCAGCGAGGTCCTGTGGGTCGCGCTTCCAGACCCTAGGACGCCACTCCCGATCAGCCCTGCGTAGCCCCGCCTAGCTCTGGTTTTCCGCGAGCCCGGACCTCGGCCAAGCGAGGAAATAAACTTGAGTGAGGTCCTGCTTCTTCTCAGTCCCGACTTTACGACTTGCCGGGACACTGCGGACCGCTCATTGCAGACCTTTACCCCTCACCTGCTGCACTTGCGTGCTCCGTGTCCGGCTTTAACAGTTAACTCCACATGCCAAGCGCACTGGGACAGCGGCTTGCCAAGCTTCCCTCCGTGCTCATGGGCCTCTCAGATAACAAGGCGCTGGAAAGGAGGAGGCCGGAGCCCTCTCGCCCCTTGGGCGTCCTCGGCCATCCGCTCTCCCAAGCGGGGCGCTGCCGCGCTCACCCGGGTTTCTCCAAACTCCCTTCTATGTGGTGCGCAGCTCTGGCCAGGGGCTGGAACGGGATCCTAGCAGTTAGGACTTCGGAACCCACAACCTATCAGGCCCGAATCTGCCGGCGGGGACAGCTGGCCTCATCTGTAAAAATTGTCTCCCGTCTGAGAATATTCTTGCGACGCAGGGAGGGAGGTCTATGGTGCCCACAGCTGCTGTATCGGAATGTTCGAAATATGATAGAATCTCAATCTATTATATACACACACACACACACACACACAAAATTTGTGTGTGTGTGTGTGTTCCTCGTACAAGGAGACAAGGCAGGAAGAACAGCACCAGCGTTTGAGCTGGTCTTGGGCAGTGAACCCGTCTCACCCCCTTAAGAAATGGCCTGGAGGAAGGACGGTCAACAACCCCGAGGACTCGGATCCGCGACGCTACCTGCACTGGGACATTTACCCCACGCACCCCGGAGGAGCCCCAGGAGGGGAAGCCCCAGGGAAGTCCTTCACCCCGACCCTACCAAACACAAAATAAAATACCCTTTTCCTACAGCTTCGGGGTTCGCCAGAGCTTGATGGAAGCATTTTAGGAGACAAGGAAGGCGACAGAGACCCCCAGGCCTGCATTCCAAATACCACCCCCAGCCGAGACCCAGCGGGGCTCCTCCTTCTCTGCCCTCTCTCCCTCCAGGGATCTGGCCGCAGGCGTCCGTCGTCCTTTCCCTCGGTGCCTGGGGAGACTACATGGCAGATGGGTCAAAACCGAGGCAGATAAAACGCACCACCTTCCTATATGCCCCGCGCTTTTCCTCGTCTCCTCAGAGGACAGGGCCGTCCAGCCAGGGCCCCGACGCGTGGAGGGACTGCCGAGGTCCGGGGAGAGAGTTTTGGAGGCGGCTCGGGAGGCTCTCGCCTCACCTGCACCCGACACGCCCCGGTCGGGCGCTGTGAGGATTCGGATCTCGACGTCCCTACAGCCCGGAGGGAGGTGGCGGGGACGAGCTGTCGGTGCGGGCCGTAGGGACAGCTGTAGGGCTGTCGGAGCGACGAGGCCCGCTCCGGGGGGCGCGCGACCAAGGCGAGGTAAAACAAAAAACAAAAAAGAAAAAAACAGGAGGGCGATGGATGGCGCGAACGGTTAGTCCGAACAGGAGACTGCGGGGGCGGGAGGCGGGGACACAGTGGCAAGGAAGAGGCCAAGTCTGGAGCAAGACCAGCGAAGAGAGGGAAATTATTACATCACTTGGAAACGTTTCCCTAAAGGGTATGCCCCTCACCCATCCCCAAATAAGCAAAAGAATAGTCCAGCTGCCGCCGAAATAAGCTGGATTTAAATCACTTCTTCTAAAATGCCCCTAGAGGAGGGCACTAGAGGCACCGAGCTTGGGGACACCTAGATCTGTGTCCCCAAGTGCTCCATTCATGGTGACTCCCTGTGATGAAGAAGCGAACATGTCTGTGTTGAGGCGGAAACCCAAACCTTCTAGTTGGCGACTGGAGGGACCCCTGTGGGGGAGGGTTTCTTTTGTCTCCCCTCCCCTAGGATTTAAGAGCCTGCTGTCCTGGAAGGCCCAAGGGTTGGCCCCACGACCCCTTGAGCTTCCCCCTTCTCAGGCCACGGGCCCAGTCCCAAGAAAGCTAATAGTTGTGTATATGCGGGTGATGGGGACCTATCCCCTGGTCCCAGCACCAACAGCGTAACAGCCAGCAGCCAGATGTGCTCCAAGAGAGGGTACAATCCACTCATATTCCAAGACGAAATAAAAGCTGGATCCGGAAGTCTTCAGGGAATGGGCCCCTCACTTTTGGCCAATGCCTCCTCCAACCAAGGTCACAAAACTCGGACAAAAGGGAGAACTGACCACCCCCTCTAGGTTAGACACTGTCTCGCTGGGCCACCCTGGGGTGGGGGTGAGGGTGGGGGGCAGGGAGGAAGTTCCTTTGTATACTTCAAGTTTTCCACAGTGTGAACCTAGACTCAGCCTTGGCAAACTGTAGCTCTGAAGGTGAGTTCTGGGCATTTTAGCAAAACGACTCCCTGATGTCGAACATCAAAGTTGTCCCTGAATAAGGGAAGCAAAAAGTGAGACAATCAGAGCGTCTCTCATCACAAGAAAGGCCGTCAGAGCAGAGACCATCGTCCTTCATTGCGGTCCCAACGGACAGGTCACCTACGGACCACAGCCATGACAGCACAGATGTACTGGGTACCAAGGACACTAGTAACACACACACACCCTTTCCCCACTCACGCACTCTCCTCACTAGCGCAGAGCTACAAGCAGCTTAAGGACTCGGTGCACCTTTGCCAGCGTTTGTTTCCGTTTTTGCAGAGACTGAGAACCCACTCTGTCCCTGCCTGTGTGCAGGGTGTGGGGAGCAGTGAACCTCCAATGCCTGCTATGAAAACATCTTAGCAATAAACTCAACACAGACGTGGAACTGTTTGCCAGCAGCTGACACAAAAACACGCAAAGAAGAACTATAGAATACAGTCAAGAAACAATCTAAATAGGCTTGGATGAAGCTATACTTTTCTAGTTCCTTCTCAAAAACTTCCCAGGGAAGCCCAGGATACGACTGCCCTCCAAGGTATCGCCGGACAGAAACCCTGCCATGGAGACCCGAAGCGCAGGAGGGCGCGCTCGTGCGCCCTAGTTTGTAGGTAGTCACCATCCCTGGGTGAGCCGGTCCTTACTTAAAGTAAACCCCGAAGATGTAGCTACCGCACCACTAAAGAAGTCGCAGCCGGAAGTAAACCCCTTGGCAAGCAGAGCGGGGGACTCCTTGGTCTCTCCAGGGTGCCCAGGGCGCCCTGCTGAGCGTGCGAGCCACAGGGGCGGGACACCCCGGCGCTCGCCGCGCGCGCCCGCTCGCGACGATTGGGCACCTGTTCTGGCCTCCGCACAGATTCCCTCTCGCGGACTCCCGCTCAGGAGTGAAGGACAGAGATGGATTCCCTCTGGGAAAAATTTCTGCGCGCGCACACCCATACACACAGAGAGAGACTTGGGGATAAACACGCCCCGAGCTCCCGCCGCCTTGCTAATTTCGGACGCGGGAAGAAAGCTGGAGGGCAGGCTAGCAAAGCGCCCACACACCCCGGTCTCTACCTCTCCAAACTCCAGCCAGCCTGAGCATCTGCCCTCGCGTGCGCAAAGGTTTGAACCCGGAATTCACAACTTGTGGGCGCTTCTCCCTCCCCTGCATTCCTAGGCTAGCTGGAATGCAGCGAGCAGATTCCCTCACAAGGAGCAGTCAGTCTCCGGCGGCGCACGCGGCGGGCGCCGCGGGCAGTAGCGGCTGGGGACGCACCCGCGCACGCCCAGGGCGCGGGCTGCAGGGATTAAGAGTGTGGCCGGGGCTTCGCCGCCGCCAGCCCCGGGGGCGAGAGACGCGCTCTCCAACTTCCCGCCAGCTGGGGTGAAGTTGCACTCGCGGTCCCGCGAGCGTTGACCGTCACACCGTCGAAAGATTTGTGGGGACCACCTTCGCCCTCAGGCCTGGCCTACAGCTCGTACCCCTGGGTGTCCCCAAACAGCATTCTCCCCAGCGTTCCAAGAAAAGCCTTGGGCTGGAGATGCGGGGTTCGGTACTCGGCTCGCCTCAAGCATGATCCAGGAGGCGTTTACATTCGGCCTCAAACAGCCAAGAGCCTGCCCCCCTGAAAGGCACTCTGGCCGGTGCCCCTGCCCTGTGACCGCCTCTGCGCCCCAGCCGCCGGCCCCTCCCGGCCCCCGAGCGGCGTCCGGCCCGCCCCGCAGCGACTGAGGCTGCTAGTTGTCGTGTTAGAATTAAATCAGAGAGAAAGGGGGGTGTCTTACGTTGCATCGGCACACCTAGCATCTCCGGGAGCCCCTTGACAGCCCCTTCCGCGGGGACAGTCGCACTCTGCATCATCTCGGAGAGAGAGCCAGCGAGTCGCAGTCTCCGGAGATCTCTCGCTATCTCGCTCTAGCTCGATTCAGAAATTTCAAAATAATAATTAAAACCCCAAGCAGGCCGCTGGAGTCACAGTGGAAGCCGGGCCCTCCGCTTCTCCGGGAGGACTCCACAGGCTGGCCGGCCCCCTCCCCCCACCAGTCCCCAGTCTGTTTCCAGTCCCTTTGATCTCGCTCTCCGGGGTTGGTGCACATCCCAGGTTGAGACGCTGTTGCTGCAGCTCTGGCTTTTTTCCTCTCCTCCCTCCCCCG